TAGAGGTACCACGTCATGTGCTGATCTTACATGTGTAGAGGTACCACGGCATGTGCTGATCTTACATGTGTAGAGGTACCACGTCATGTGATCTTACATGTGTGTAGACCTGAGGCACCACGGCATGTGCTGATCTTACATGTGTAGAGCTACCACGTCATGTGCTGATCTTACATGTGTAGAGGTGCCACGTCATGTGCTGATGTTACATGTGTAGAGGTACCACGTCATGTGTTGATCTTACATGTGTAGAGGTACCACGGCATGTGATCTTACATGTGTAGAGGTACCACGTCATGTGCTGATCTTACATGTGTAGAGGTACCACGGCATGTGCTGATCTTACATGTGTAGAGGTACCACGTCATGTGATCTTACATGTGTGTAGACCTGAGGCACCACGGCATGTGCTGATCTTACATGTGTAGAGGTACCACGTCATGTGCTGATCTTACATGTGTAGAGGTACCACGTCATGTGCTGATCTTACATGTGTAGACCTGAGGTACCACGGCATGTGCTGATCTTACATGTGTAGAGGTACCACGGCATGTGCTGATCTTACATGTGTAGAGGTACCACGTCATGTGCTGATCTTACATGTGTAGAGGTACCACGTCATGTGCTGATCTTACATGTGTAGAGGTACCACGGCATGTGCTGATCTTACATGTGTAGAGGTACCACGTCATGTGCTGATCTTACATGTGTAGAGGTACCGCGTCATGTGCTGATCTTACATGTGTAGAGGTACCACGGCATGTGCTGATCTTACATGTGTAGAGGTACCACGTCATGTGCTGATCTTACATGTGTAGACCTGAGGTATCGCGTCATGTGCTGATCTTACATGTGTAGAGGTACCACGTCATGTGCTGATCTTACATGTGTAGAGGTACCACGTCATGTGCTGATCTTACATGTGTAGAGGTACCGCGTCATGTGCTGATCTTACATGTGTAGAGGTACCACGGCATGAGCTGATCTTACATGTGTAGAGGTACCACGGCATGTGCTGATCTTACATGTGTAGACCTTAGGTACCGCGTCATGTGCTGATCTTACATGTGTAGAGGTACCGCGTCATGTGCTGATCTTACATGTGTAGAGGTACCACGGCATGTGCTGATCTTACATGTGTAGAGGTACCACGTCATGTGCTGATCTTACATGTGTAGAGGTACCACGTCATGTGCTGATCTTACATGTGTAGAGGTGCCACGGCATGTGCTGATCTTACATGTGTAGATGTACCACGGCATGTGCTGATCTTACATGTGTAGACCTGAGGTACCACGGCATGTGCTGATCTTACATGTGTAGAGGTACCACTGCATGTGCTGATCTTACATGTGTAGACCTGAGGTACCACGTCATGTGCTGATCTTACATGTGTAGAGGTACCACGGCATGTGATCTTACATGTGTAGAGGTACCACGTCATGTGCTGATCTTACATGTGTAGAGGTACCACGGCATGTGATCTTACATGTGTAGAGGTACCACGGCATGTGTTTATCTTACATGTGTAGAGGTACCACGGCATGTGCTGATCTTACATGTGTAGAGGTACCACGTCATGTGCTGATCTTACATGTGTAGACCTGAGGTACCACGGCATGTGTTTATCTTACATGTGTAGAGGTACCACGGCATGTGCTGATCTTACATGTGTAGAGGTACCACGTCATGTGCTGATCTTACATGTGTAGACCTGAGGTACCACGTCATGTGTTTATCTTACATGTGTAGAGGTACCACGGCATGTGATCTTACATGTGTAGAGGTACCACGTCATGTGCTGATCTTACATGTGTAGAGGTACCACGTCATGTGCTGATCTTACATGTGTAGACCTGAGGTATCACGGCATGTGCTGATCTTACATGTGTAGAGGTACCACGGCATGTGCTGATCTTACATGTGTAGAGGTACCACGGCATGTGCTGATCTTACATGTGTAGACCTGAGGTACCACGTCATGTGCTGATCTTACATGTGTAGAGGTACCACGTCATGTGCTGATCTTACATGTGTAGAGGTACCACGTCATGTGCTGATCTTACATGTGTAGAGGTACCACGTCATGTGCTGATCTTACATGTGTAGAGGTACCACGGCATGTGCTGATCTTACATGTGTAGAGGTACCACGTCATGTGCTGATCTTACATGTGTAGAGGTACCACGGCATGTGCTGATCTTACATGTGTAGAGGTACCACGGCATGTGATCTTACATGTGTAGAGGTACCACGTCATGTGCTGATCTTACATGTGTAGAGGTACCGCGGCATGTGCTGATCTTACATGTGTAGAGGTACCACGTCATGTGCTGATCTTACATGTGTAGAGGTACCACGGCATGTGCTGATCTTACATGTGTAGACCTGAGGTACCACGTCATGTGCTGATCTTACATGTGTAGAGGTACCACGGCATGTGCTGATCTTACATGTGTAGAGGTACCACGTCATGTGCTGATCTTACATGTGTAGAGGTACCACGTCATGTGCTGATCTTACATGTGTAGAGGTACCACGGCATGTGCTGATCTTACATGTGTAGAGGTACCACGTCATGTGCTGATCTTACATGTGTAGAGGTACCACGGCATGTGCTGATCTTACATGTGTAGAGGTACCACGTCATGTGCTGATCTTACATGTGTAGAGGTACCACGTCATGTGCTGATCTTACATGTGTACAGGTACCACGTCATGTGTTGATCTTACATGTGTAGAGGTACCACGTCATGTGTTGATCTTACATGCGTAGACCTGTGTACCACACCATGTGCTGAGTCTACGTGTGCAGATTTAGAGTCCTGGTGTCTAAGGTACCACGGTAGTGATGAGACTACAGGTGTTGACCTACACTGGTGTGAGGTACCGTGCTTGGTCTATGGGTGAAGAAGTTCTTTGCTGTCTGAGATAGCATGCTAAGACTATAGGTGCAGACCTTACCTGGTGTCTGAGGTACCTTGCTGCCTCCACATGTGCAGACCTTTGAACCCTCGTGTCTGCAAGTATAAACCCAACTTTCATTTTTTTTAATAAGTAAAAATACTATAAGATAATTTACAAAGCAGCTTCAAATTTTGTTACACGTTTATTTTAATACCCGTTAGAAAAATCAGTTATAGATGAAATGTCGGCACATCATTGCGTTCTGTGTGCTTTTTGTCTTGTTCGTCCACATAGTGTATTGTTGACAGTTGCGCTTTTGACAGCCTTTGTACCGTGTCGGCTTTTGTCTTGATGCATGTTTTGTTATGTGGGACTTTTTTCCTGTGACTATAATCACGTGCTTAAGTTTTTGAACATTACTTGAAGTATTTACCTATCGAAAATGTAGACCTTGTTTCTTTGGGTTCAATACATTTTGCGCACCGTACATCAGGTTTTTAACAGTTTTCTAATCTTAGAAGTATAACAATACCGACTAACGAGCTGTGTATCGAATTTAGATCGAACCACTTATATATCAGTCTATTGATCAGCAGCTTCCAGTAATGGCTAGCGGCTTAATCGAAACAATTAACTCGGGTGCAAAGACGTGAAGTGTGTGTTAAATGGGTCGGGGTGATGGGTCTTAACCCTCTTAGTTGTATTTGCTGTGTCGAGTAGAGTTTCATAATCAAACGCAGCCTATGTTAGAATCCTGGTTAATTCATTCAGCTCTGTTATTTTCTAAATTATTTTTTAACACCATGATCAACTATTCAATGGATTTAAAAAATCGAAAGCGTTATACTTTCTAGACCTCCTACCCCCACCTCCCACTATTACACCACACCCTCCCCTCCCTTCACGGTTAGAACTGAACAGAGGACGAGAATGTATCAACTAGATTTATTATACACCTGTCAACAAGGGAGCAATCAAAGACCGATAACTCACCGCTAATTTATGCAGTCTGCTACATATAAAGGAAAAAAATTCAAATTGGACTTAATTTTGCTGCTCCTCATACACATATACAAAAACATAAATGTGCACACACACACATACACACTATGCACATTTATGCACACATACATGTGCTAATCCACTTAAGACCCCCAGCCTTTTAAATCATGCCTGATGATACAATCATTGACCCGTACGTTTACGAAGTCGGCCAAATATAAGTTGGTGGTTGTTGGAAGATCGATCGTATAATTTTAATGGCTGATTATATTTCTACATTCATTTAAATAGTTTATAACAATTTCTTGTAGAAAAAATACAATTATTAGATTGAAATTTTTTTAGTCTTGTAAAAGATTTTTCAATCTTGAAGCTGATTTTTTTCTAAGATCTCAACTGGTTTACTTTCATTCTATAGAGATAGTAGTTAACCCTCACTTAGCTTTTATAAATTATACTTACTCTTATTTGACTATAGAGCTCTTAACTAATTTTTACCTAGGTATACAGATCAAAAATGAATTGTACCTACCTATGGGGATCTTAACTGCTATTTACTTGGCTATAGAGATCTTAACTTATTCTTACCTGCCAATATTGACCATAGTTGATTTTAACGTGTTTGCAGTAAGTAGCAAGCAATTAGCGTGAGTGAACTTCCGCTGTGTGTAGGCCTAGGCACATAATTGAGTACAATAGCTCGCTAGTAACCCCTTGATTAAAACGGCGACATTGTCTCACTCTCTTGTACAAAGTGGTAATTGATTGTTCAATTGAGATGCCAACCTTAGTTTCAACAGGGCGGTTAGATGGAGAATAAGAAAATTGGCGAGGAAACTAGGAATTGATCTGGCCAGCTTGTTAATTCATTATTGTTCTCTGAAAATTGCAAATCATCCATCTTCTATAAAATAAAGAATACAACACAAAATTATCTCGTAGTTTATGATAATTTTAATAACATGTGATTTCTATTGTATTTATCTAATGAATAAGTATTTTGTGCTGATAAAATTTGACCATGTAAACATTGTTGATTGAATGGGAGTCAACCTAATTTGTGTACCTTTACAAATTTTTCAGATTGTTACAAAAACAACGAAAGAGCTAGATTAATCGAATGAGATTACTAAATCTTTAAATGTTATCATTTTAATATTTAAAAAAAAAGATAACAGCTGAATTCCAGTACTTTAATCTCAAATTTGGATTAAAATATTTTGATTTCCGGTGTTGGATTATCATTGATGGTTATTCCTAGTGGCGTCATGAATTGGATTATCGAGTACACGTTCCTGTTGTTGCTGTTACCTGGGCTTACCTGCACGGATGGCTTAAAGTCGGAGACCCCGGAGAAATTGTGAGTACACCTTTATGAGAGCTAATGGAGTCATACCTTGTGAGTACACCTTGTTTCATGAGAGTGTTTGGAGTCATACTTTGTGAGTACACCTTGTTTCATGAGAGTTTGTGGAGTCATACATTGTGAGTACAACTTGTTTTATGAGAGTTAGTGGAGTCATACATTGTGAGTACACCTTGTTTTATGAGAGTTTGTGGAGTCATACTTTGTGAGTACACCTTGTTTTATGAGAGTTTGTGGAGTCATACTTTGTAAGTACACCTTGTTTTATGAGAGTTTGTGGAGTCATACTTTGTGAGTACACCTTGTTTTATGAGAGTTTGTGGAGTCATACATTGTGAGTACACCTTGTTTTATGAGAGTTTGTGGAGTCATACTTTGTGAGTACACCTTGTTTTATGAGAGTTTGTGGAGTCATACTTTGTAAGTACACCTTGTTTTATGAGAGTTTGTGGAGTCATACTTTGTGAGTACACCTTGTTTTATGAGAGTTTGTGGAGTCATACTTTGTGAGTACACCTTGTTTCATGAGAGTTTGTGGAGTCATACATGGGTGTGGTCAGTGTAGGTGTTGTCAGGGGTTACGTCTTGGTCATAAGTTGTCTGGGCAGTGATTGATTTGTCGGTGTAGGTATTGTCAGTGGTTTTAAGTTAACGTCATAAATTGTGTGGGTGTGTGAGTGTGGGTGCATGTGTGTATGTATATGTGAGTGTGTATCTGTGTGTCTATGTGCGTGAGTAACCAGTCCCCGTTGTAACTTCCTCCATACAGTTTGTAAACTCTCACTTAACATTTGCTTACATCAATCTTACTGCTACGTTTTTGTATCCGGGTTATAAATGGAAAGGGGGGGTCATTAATCTATTTAATAATACATGACGTCACGAGGGCGTCTCACCCCCTCTCCCCCTCCTTCCTCATTCAACTAAAGGTTTCGCATATCTTCATAAAGAGACGGACTTTTTTTTTCATAAAATGGAGTCCCATAATTGCAATTACACTTAAATATAACAACCATACTTATGAAAACTATCTATTCTCATTCACTGTAATTCGTCATCTTCTCAATCCCCTCCCTCCTGCTACTTCGTTTATTTAAAGATCGAGGTTTTTATTTTCTTTATTTTTCTGTTTTTTTTTACCTTTTTCCTTTTTTTTCGGGGGGGGGGGGGGGGGTAGGGGGTAGAGCATTAGAGCATTGTCATAATACCAAAATACCAAAAACAGAAAAACGCAAATTGGGAATATGTAACTAAAATCCCAAAACCGTCTAACTTTCTTTCGCTCCAACTCATAAAACCCCTCCCCCCCCCCCCCCCCCCCCAAGACCCGTCCATTCCTCTAGAGATAAATAATCCCACTCACAGTGTAGACATTGTCCGTTATCTTGGCGATTTATTGGCCGGTCTGTATACAGTGTGGTGAGTAATACTCGGGTTATTGATTTGTGTCCTTACAAGGAGAACTGGCAACACTGTAGTGTTTAAAGTAGCGAGTGGTGTTTAGATCTATAGGGATGTCTAGATCTGTAGGGATGTCTAGACGTGTTTCTACATCTATAGGGCTGTCTAGATCTATAGGGCTGTCTAGATCTATAGGGCTGTCTAGATCTATAGGGCTGTCTAGATCTATAGGGCTGTCTAGATCTATAGGGCTGTCTAGATCTATAGGGCTGTCTAGATCTATAGGGCTGTCTAGATCTATAGGGATGTCTAGATCTATAGGGCTGTCTAGATCTATAGGGATGTCTAGACGTGTCTAGATCTATAGGGCTGTCAAGATGTGTCTAGATCTATAGGTCTGTCTAGATCTATAGGGTTGTCTAGATCTATAGGGATGTCTAGACGTGTCTAGATCTATAGGGCTGTCTAGATGTGTCTAGATCTATAGGTCTGTCTAGATCTATAGGGTTGTCTAGATCTATAGGGCTGTCTAGATGTGTCTAGATCTATATGTCTGTCTAGATCTATAGGGTTGTCTAGATCTATAGGGCTGTCTAGATGTGTCTAGATCTATATGTCTGTCTAGATCTATAGGGTTGTCTAGATCTGTAGGGATGTCTAGACGTGTTTCTACATCTATAGGGCTGTCTAGATCTATAGGGATGTCTAGACGTGTGTAGATCTATAGGGCTGTCTAGATGTGTCTAGATCTATAGAGCTGTCTAGATCTATAGGGTTGTCTAGATCTATAGGGCTGTCTAGATGTGTCTAGATCTATAGGGCTGTCTAGATGTGTCTAGATCTATAGGTCTGTCTAGATCTATAGGGCTGTCTAGATCTATAGGGCTGTCTAGATCTATAGGTCTGTCTAGATCTATAGGGCTGTCTAGACATGCGTCTTGATGTAGAGGGCTGTCTAGATATTTTTTCTAGATCTATAGGGTTGTCTATACAAAAGTCTATATGTTATAGAGCTGTCTAGACATGTAATGCTTGTTTTATTGACTTGTATAATTATATGGAGGGCTGTAAACAATGCACGGTCTTAACTAACGAGTGGTTGATTCACATCTGTCTAGACCAATAGGACTATCTAGACATGTCTCTATACCTACAAGGATGTTAAGATATGTCTGGTTCTGTAATGATGTTCAGACTAATGTATAATTGTATAGGATTGTCTAGACATATACCTACATTTGTAGACATTAATATGGTTGGATAGAGAGAAGCTTCATGTGTACAGCTTGAAAGACATGATAAAAACATCCTTACTTTATGATATACATGTGGGGTATTCTTCGACTTTGCGGCTAAAAGATACGATTTTCAAAGATACTAGGTGTATGAGAGGCTTAATTCCCTTATATTGTATGATTTGTACGTGACGTATTTGTTGTATATAATGTATGTGTTTAGTGAGGAATGTCGTCTTGTATCTTTTGTCCGTTATATTTTTGTGTTTGTTATAGGCCTATATGTTGTATGTCTTGTATGTGTATTCAGGGCGTATGTGGGCGGGTAGATATGATGTCACGAAATAACCCGTGTGTTAATTGAGTAGACTGGGCATCCATCTTGGATAAAAACAAATCCAAATGCCATAGCAACTTATCACCCGTGTCAAGCGTCAACACGTGACTTGATTTCTGAGAAAACCTGTACGTGTTTGTACAGAAAGATAATTGAGGAAATGTTTAGGCTGAGTTATGTCCCTTGTGTTTGGGTTGGGCTAAGTGAGATTATACCTTGTGGCGTAAGCTGATATATGGTATCGAGAGGGATGGATTGTTGAATTTTCATTTTATATATATATATATATATATATATATATATATATATATATATATATATATATATATATATATATATATATATATATATATATACATATATATATATATACATATATATACACATATATATGTATACATATATATATATATATATATATATATATATATATATATATATATATATATATATATATATATATATATATATATATATATATATATATATATATGTATATATATATATATATATATATATATATATATATATATATATATATATATATATATATATGTATATATATATGTATATATATATATATATATATATATATATATATATATATATATATATATATATATATATATATATATATATATATATATATATATAATCATAAAAAGTGACAAGTAAACAAGACAAATCAATAATGTACCCCCGTAGCGCCCCTTTGCCCATGTGCCACCTATAATGACAATGTTGTATTGGATGTGAATGGTGGGATTAAAACCAGGATGTTGAGGGCGTCCTATGTGGGATTAAGCTCCACAGTTGCTAAGTTGGGCTAAACGTAATATACTTAATGTGAATAAAGCTGAATAAAACCCTAACTAACTGTTGTCTAAGGGATGCGTTACGTCACAAACAGTACATTTCAAAAGGAGGACTTTGAAGCTTATTGGATGAAAATAACAGGAGAATTCTTCGGTGGTTTTTTTTTAGATGGAGAAGGAAAGGGAATGAGAGGAAGAGAGGTGTGTGGGAGAGTGAAGCAGAGATAAATGAGGGAGAGGTTGAGAGAAAGTGAAAGTAAGGATAAGAAAAAGAAGGGGGAGGGGTTGGGGGGGGGGGGGGAGAAAGATAAACAAAAACATATTGTAATAATGTTGGGTTTAAATCAACTATACATTTATATAAAATAAACAATCGCATATGCAAGATATAACATTTTCATCAGTCTAATACCAAGTATTTAATCTAACTTACAAACTTTCTTTCGTCCAACAATTATAACTTTAAAAAAAAACAATTTTCTTTAATCCAATAACGATAACATTTCCAACATTTAATTTTTTCCCCAACCGTGACAACGTATACAACGTACACCTTTCTAGCAGTGACAGTATATTTATATACAACCATGTTTAACAAAACTGTTATAATTACTAATATACAACTTTCTTAAGTCTTACTGTGATAACTTATAAAACATACAACTTTCCTATGACCGGGCTTACATATTGAACACACACTCACATCAACTGAAACCTGACTTATCCTAAACTGTTAATTAATTTATAACTCAACCACTTAACATTTAACAAACACCAGACATGTTTGAAAATCTTATTTACAAACAATACTTCGCTGCATGCCAGAAATAATGTATCAACACGGGCGATTACTCCTGGCTTGCTGTGGGGTCGGGAGGTCAGGCTATTTTTATCCTTTTTATGGATATACATGGGAAGCAACCCAACCCAGGGAAGTAATCTAGTTAAACTATCTACAGGAGAAATCGATAATATCAATAATTAATATCCTCCTCAATAAATAAAAAAGATAATTACCCTCCCCTATCATACACTACAGGACGGGAGTAATAGGACACAACCTGGGACGGCCTATGAACCCGCCCCCCTGCCCTCTATTTCCTGGCCTGATTCCGTTATGTGGAACTCGACAAAAATCGTAACACAAATCATACACTAAACCACATACGCAAGCACAGATACAGCCACACGATTATATACACACAT